AGGACCTAGGACCCCAGGACCCCAGGACCCCAGGACCTAGGACCCCAAGGACCCCAGGACCCAGGACCCCAGGCCCTAGACCCTAGGACCCCAGGACCCCAGGACCACCCCAGGAACCCAGGACCCTAGGACCCCAGGACCCCAGGACCCTAGGACCCAGACCCCAGGACCCCAGGACCCCAGGACCTAGGACCCCAGGACCCCAGGACCCTAGGCCCCAGGAGGACCCAGGACCCCAAGGGACCCAGGACCCAGGACCCCAGGACCCCCGATCCCAGGACTCCGAGGCGGCCGCGTCCTCAGCACAGGGCGAGGCGCGGCAGGATACCAGGAGGACGACGCCAATTAAGCGACAACAAAGGCGCGTGTCGGAGCGCTGGCAGGGGACATCCTACGGCGCGGGAGGCTTCCCTGCACGCCCTCGCCATGGCGGGGGTGGGCGGGGGGGGGGTCTGAGGCGGGATGGGGGTGAGGCGCTGGTGGGGGGTTGTGTGATATGAATGGTGTTAGGTGATAGATTGATTGATAGGAAGAAATACATAGTGATACACACACACGCACACATACACACACACACACATATATATATACCACACACACACACACACACACACACACACACACACCACACACACACACACACAACACACACACACACACAATATATATATATATATATATATATATATATATATATATATATATATATATATATATATATATATATATATATATATATATATATATATATATATATATATATATATATATATCGTATATAGTGAGCGGTGAGAGAGAGAAGAGAGAGAGAGAGAGAGAGAGAGAGAGAGAGAGAGAGAGAGAGAGAGAGAGAGAGAGAGAGAGAGAGAGAGAGAGAGAGAGAGAGAGAGAGAGAGAGAGAGAGAGAGAGAGAGAGAGACAGAGAGAGAGTGAGAGAAAGAGAAAGAGAGAGTGAGAAAGAGAGATCTATAAACAGACAGAAATGGGTGGATGAACGAACCCCAGTGACTCATTATTCACTAACTATAACTTTGGAAAAAAAAAAATACATGAACGAGAATGAATATTTTCACACAGTAATAAAACTTTATTTAGTTACTCGTCTGTCTCGTTCTTTGTTCATCTTCCTTTAGAAAAAAGTTGATTACTAATGGGATATTTTGACTGAATTCTGATTGACCGATTGAAATAGAGGAAAAGAAAAAAATGATTGATAAAACATGGGGAATGGGAAAGAAAGGAAAAGGGCCTAGGAGGAATGTAAATAGGAATAAATGTGGGAATTGGGAACTGAGAAAGAGAAGAAACTAAATCTACAAGTAGAGGAAGAAGAATAAAAAAGAAAAGACACACAAAAAATGAAGAAATAGAAGAAAATCATCAGAGTAAAAAAACAAAAAAATGAGAAAAAAAAAAAATAAAAAAAAGAAGGAAAGAAAAAAAAAAGAAAAAGAAAAGAAAGAAAGAAGAAATAAATAACAGGAAAAAATGAAGAATAAGAACAAGAGCAAGGAGAAAGAAGAGGAGGAGGAAGAAAACAAAAAGAGGCAAAAACGTATTTTACTAGTTCTTTTTTATCCCCCATTTCTGGAAACACATGTCACATGGTTCTCTTGCGTGTCTCTTTCGCAAACGTCAATCTTACCCTTTTCTGTTCTCCTTTTCCTGTTATCAGTCTTTCTTCTTCCTTCTTATATTACTATCCCCTTTATTTTAGTTCCATTTATTTATTTTTTATATGTCATTTCTTTTCTCTTTTCCACTTGCCTTTTCACATGTTTTTTTTTTCCTTTTTTCTCTTTCCATCTTTATTCCCGTTTCTCTTTGTCTTTTTTCTCCTTCCTCCCTGTCTTCTCCCTTTCCACTCACTTCCTGCTTTCCATCTCTAGTCCCTCCGTTCTTCTATCTTTTAATCCTTTCTCCTCCCTTTCTCTTTCCGTTCCTCGCTTCCTCTTCCATCTCTTTTGTTTTGCTAATCCTTCTTCTCGCTTCCCTTTTCCCTTCTAATTTCTCTTCCTCCGTTTCATCCCTCTCCTCTCTTCAGTTCTCCCTCTCATCTTTTATCCTTCACTCCTTTCCCCTTTTCCTTCTCAATTCAATCCTCCCTTCCCTCTTCTACCCCCCCCTACCCTTCCACGCCTCCTCTGACCCCCCTCCCTCCTCTACCTTCCTCCCCCTCCTTCCCCCCCCACACAACATGGCTACCGTCACGATTCCCATGTCATGGCGAGGTTGCAGTTTGCAATCGCAGAAATGTTTCACAAAATCTCCATAATAGAAACGGTGCCACTGCGGATCCGTCAATTGTATTTGGGAATATAACACCTTTGAAAAACAACCCTTTTCGGCGATTTTGCAGCGCGGACAGACACGCGAAAAAGGGGTTTGTATACAGAGAATATGTCCCTACGAGTAAATGAATCCGCGCTGATCCACATGAAAGGAAATGCAGGACATAGAGATGCCATTTTTTACACGAGTTTTCTGAACTAATGTCCATTTTGCTCTCGACAACGTTTTGGTTACGTTTATTTGATATACAAATGTTTTTTTTCTGCGATTTTAGAGGGAGAAAGAAGCGAAAGGCGGATAGATGAATAGAGAAAGAGAGAGTGAGTAGAGTGAGTGAGTGAGTGAGTGAGTGAGTGAGTGAGTGAGAGAGAGAGAGAGAAGAGAGAGAGAGAGAGAGAGAGAGAGAGAGAGAGAGAGAGAGAGAGAGAGAGAGAGAGAGAGAGAGAGAGAGAGACGGAGAGAGAGGAGAGAGAGACGAGAGAGAGAGAGAGAGAGAGAGAGAGAGAGAGAGAGAGAGAGAGAGAGAGAGAGAGAGAAGAGAGAGAGAGAGAGAGAGAGAGAGAGAGAGAGAGAGAGAGAGAGGAGAGAGAGAGAGAGAGAGAGAGAGAGAGAGAGAGAGAGAGAGAGAGAGAGAGAGAGAGAGAGAGAGAGAGAGAGAGAGAGAGAGAGAGAGAGAGAGAGAGAGAGAGAGAGAGAGAGAGAGAGAGAGAGAGAGAGACGGAGAGAGAGAGAGACGGAGAAAGAGAGAGAGAAGAGGAGAAGAGAGAGAGAGAGAGAGAGAGAGAGAGAGAGAGAGAGAGAGAGAGAGAGAGAGAGAGAGAGAGAGAGAGAGAGAGGAGAGAGAGAGAGAGAGAGAGAGAGAGAGAGAACAGCAAATGCTTGTGGCGTCTTGTGCGTCGCTGTAACGGAGTCTCCGAACCACAGGAAGCGGCAGCCAGGTCCTCTGATTTATGTGTAATATCGTGTTAGCCAAATCTGAGAGTTGCTCTGTCTTTCGTGTGAATTCTGGACAGCTTATGCGACTTTTACATAACAAACGAGAGTGGAATCGGGTAAGATATTCGAATCGTATTTTGTTTTATTTGTCCGTTTATTATTTTTTCTCGATTGATTGATTTTAAGAGTCTGATCGACGTGAAAATTCAAGTACGTTTGTTCTCATTTTATTTTGAAAATTCAATCTTATATTTGATCTTCTTTTGATAAAATGATGTAACGTCTTTAACGTATAAGTGAATTTTATAAAGCATATCTATTCGAAAATCACGTCAAAAATGTGTATGAACAGCCAATACAAAAAAAAAAAGAGAGAAAAAAACAAAACTTGGCAATATTGTCGAACAGCTGGTAAATCGTTCGAAATTGTGGGTCTCATCAAAATGATAAACATTAATGCAATTAGCATTATCCGAAGTAAATAATGCCTTGTATGTAATCGTGTAATAGGATGGTGCTGTAATTTCAAGTTGCCGATGATTTAAGCTGTCAGGTTCGCGTGCAGAGGACGATACTGTGTCGATCTTGCTAATGTTATTGCATTACTGGCAACTTATTCTTAGACTAAAAGCGAGTCGTGGAAAAAAGAAGTTCGAGATGCGCGGTCGCTCCGTTTTCGATGTGCTTTTTTTAGGGGGGTCTATCATATTCTAAGTGTGCAAAGAAATGATGGTTTGTATATATATTTTTAATGGGAAGATAAGCGATAGAAGAAACCGAGAAAAAAAATGGAAGGGGAAAATGAGAATAAGAAAAAAATGGGAGCAATCAAGTTTTGAGGCACTTTCATCATTTAATTATCATTTTTCTTTCCTTTTATTTTGGTTTCCTTGGACGCCACCTTCCCCTCCCCCTCGCAAAGAATACACCATGTAAGTCATCCTTAAGTGCCCCCCCCCCCCAAGCTTCCCCCCGGTGGCGTTCCCTACCCCCCCCCGCGCACCATCACCACCTTGTACACATGAAAAACAAAGAAAAAAAGTCAAAGTCATGTAAAGTAAAGAATCAAAACATATTTCAGTGATTATAAGCCTTGTTCGTTTCCTTAGTTTAAGTCAAGAATAAATAAGTCGAAACGTCTGATTTCAAAATAATTACAAACTTTTGAATAAACGGTTACGTAACGTTCTCCAAATGCAGTGAAAGAACTAAACATCTGTTCTTGCCTGAGAGTTATTTAATGATATTTGTGTCAAGAGGAGAGAAAAAAAGGTATATTGTTAATGTCGTGCTAGATTGCAATCTGGTCGGAGTCGCAGGTAACTAGCAAGCAATTTCGCAAAAAAATAATCATTGGTTCAGATTTGAAAAAAACGAGAACGAAAAAAATCCTTTAATCGGTAATTGAAAATGAGCTGACCACCCAAAAGCTCTCCCAAGAAAAAAATAAATTAATAAACATATAGATGATATACATCACGCGCGAGTAGGCACACACACACACACACACACACACACATTCACAAGCATCTGAGTGTGTGCGTGCGTATATGTGCGTGTCGAACATCAATCACTTCAAGTATCTAATAAGCCATATCCTTTCCCACAATTAAAAATACAGTACATTGCCAGACCCCGGCACCTTCGCCACCCCACTTCATGCGCTGTAAGTCTCTGCAAGCCAAGCTGCCTCTTCAGCCGAGTTCGTTCCGAGGTGAAGCGTTAGGTTAAAAAAATGTGATATTGAAGAGTCGTGGGAATCTCGTAAAGGTTCGTAATATCACTTCAATTTTACTTTTATTATCTTCATTTTGTCAGTGCTGAACATAAATGATAACGATGGAAGGGTATTAAATTAAAGTAATTCTCCAAAAAAAAAAAGTTTTCACGTACCGTTTTTCATCTGGTAAGTATAACAATTTCTTTGTACTTATGGCGGCCATTTTGATTTTTCCATTGACTTTTTTTAACTCTTTTTTTCCTTCTCCTTCATCATCATCATCACCACCACCATCTTCTCCTCCTATTCTTCATCCATCTCCTCATCCTCTTCCTAATCTTAAATTTCCCTAGCACGTTATTAATTCAATTTGTCAGTATTAATTCATATGAAAAAAACCCTCACGTATAGTTTTGAACATAGCTTTTTGTTCCAATACAGTAATTAATTGTACCATTCCTTGTACAGCGAATCGACAACCTTCTCGTTACAAGCAAGAGAAATGGGAATTCCCGCCAATTACCACGAGAGCGATCGGTCCCTCAACTTCCCTCTATTTCTATCGGAGTCATACTGTAATGACGGATACATGAGGTTTAAGCCTCCAATTACGAGATCGGAACCCAACCCGACCATGAAAGACAATCTCAGTCTCGGTTCGTGTACAAAGCCACCCAATCGTGGGCTCATTGCCTTTGTCATTGGATAATAGCGGCGGCCATTCATTGCCAGCCCGTAATCGGCGATTCCTCTCTTCTCTTTTTTTCTTGCCATCCTCATTACCTGCTACTTCTTTTATATCATCGACTTAAGCACAAATGCCGGTTCCCATCAGCAGAGATTCCCATGGACGTCTCTTTTGTGTTTAAATAGTGTAATTGTCGTCATTGTACCCCCCCCCCAGATGAATAGAAAACGGATGTCTAGTCGGGCTCTTCCGGGGGGGACTTTGACAGTTTTCGTGGCCGGAATTGTTTTTTCGGGGGTCATCACATTAGCCGACTCTTCTTCTCCTGTGCGGGGAGTCGAGGTTTATTCCCGTGCTGTGCTTCTTTTTTCCCCTTTTCCACTCCATAATCGCAAGCAGGCAACCGCTTCCTCCGCCTCTCCCTGGGGAGCATTCAGCAACATCAAACAAAGACAAGGGGTTTGAAATCCACCTCAGGGTCGTTTTCTGTTGCTCGCTCCGTCGCCGAAGAAAATGGTGATTCAAACAAAAGAAGTTTATTGTCTCCAGCATGACGGTAAAAAAGTGGTCTTTGTATCCCCGCCAAGCATGGATATTATCCAATAACGCCCACAATAAGCCTTCTCGATTCATCATAAATGGTCCGTCGTGCATAAAAAGGTTGTAATATGATACCGGGGAAGGGGCACGGCGGCGCCCATCGCGTGAGGCAGATTTTGGCCTTCGTGACAAATCGATATAAAGTCGATAATCCTGCAGTCCAAAGCGCGTATCTAACCTCCCTTTTTACAACCGCGACATCATTGTTATTAGTGACTGCACGCTGCCTATTGAAATGTGTCTCGTTTGACTGACAGTCGGGGAATAATAGACGTTCGAAATAATAGACGATGAGGAGAGCAACGAAGTCCCCCTTCCCCTCCCCATTACCCCCCCCTCCCGGCCGCGTTCGGATGAGCCGTCTCTCTCGATCGCGTGACATTTGCGAGGTGTTCGGACGCGTGGAGGGACCTAACCTAACCCACCATCGAAGACCTAAATCGAGCCGTGATAGAAAAAGCTCCCCATCCCAAATACACCTCAATTCCCTTTCCTCTCCCCCAACCCCCACTCTCCCTCTCCCCTCGCAAATCCAACCAACTCTTATCCCCTTCTTCTCCCCTCCCCCCACCCCCGTCCAACGCCGAATGAGAATCCGAAACGAATCGTCCCAACACGGTGAAAATTTCGAGCCATCGATCAGCGAATCGGACGCGGCCATGTAAGTAGTGGTTGCTGGATCCTAAAGTCAGGTAAGTGGAGGAGGAGGAGAAGCAGGGCCAAGAGCTTGCGTGTCCGGTCCAGTTTGGAGGAGGAGGAGGAGGCGGAGAGGAGGAGGAGGAGGAGAGGAGGAAGGAGGAGGAGGAGGAAGGAGGAGAGAAGAAGAAGAAGAAGAAGAGGAGGAGGAGAAAAAAGAAGAAGGAAATGAGAGGTGAGAAAGAAAATGAGGTGAGAGGGGAGGGGAGGGGGAGGGAGGAAAAGGAGGAGGAGGAGGAGGAAGGAGGGAGGAGGAGGAGGAGGAGGAGGAGGAGAAGAAGGAAGAAGAAGAAGAAGAAGAAGAAGAAGAAGAAGAAGAAGGAGTAAGAAAATGAGGTGGAAGAAAAACATGAGGTGGAGGAGAAGGAGAAAGAGGAGAAAAAGAAGAAGGAGGAGGAGGAGGAAAAGAAAAAGGGGTAAGAAAATGGGGAAGAGGAAATATAATGAGTGAAGGAGGAGATGGAGGAGGAGGAGGAGAAGAAGAAGAAGAAGAAGAGGAGAAAAAGAGGAAAAAAATGAGGTGGAGGAGGAGGAGGAGGGAAAAGAAGAAGGAAGGAGGAGGAGGAAA